CGCGAGGCCCTCACCCCGTGTCTTCCCCAGAGCGAGCTGCGCTGCAAAGCCCGTCGGGCTGGGTGCCGCTGCTGCTGGCGCTGCTCCACGAGCTGCAGGCCCCGGCCTCCCACTGGAGCCCCTACTTTGCGCTCTGGCCCGACCTGGGCCGCCTGGAGCATCCCATGTTCTGGTAGGAGCCGAGGGAGGCGTGGGGGAGCGTGCTCCAGCCAGTCTGCCTGGGGTCACCAGGTGCGGGGTGTTAAAAGGAGCTGGGCCGGCTGTTCCACTGCAGGACCCAGGAGGAGCGGCAACGCCTGCTGCAGGGCACTGGTGTTCCAGAGGCGGTGGAGAAGGATTTGGCCAACATCCGCAGCGAGTACCATTCCGTTGTGCTGCCCTTCATGGAAGCCCACCCTGATCTCTTCAGTCCCAAGGTTCGCTCTCTGGAACTCTATCACCAACTCGTGGCCCTCGTAATGGCCTATAGGTCAGTGAATAGAAATCTGAAAGACCAAACATCTTCAGACTTCTTGAGGGATGGAAAAGAGTAGAACAGCCAAGCCCACCCCCTAGTCTTTAGTTTTAGCCAACTCCTCTCTGGCAGCTTTCAAGAGCCATTGGACGAGGAGGATGAAGAGGAGCCAAACTCCCCTGTGATGGTGCCTGCTGCAGATATACTGAACCATCTAGCCAATCACAATGCCAACCTAGAGTACTCTGCGGTGAGTGGATCACACCTAGTTGTTATGTGTATTGATGATTGAGCATTTGAGCCAAACCACTAACGGCCTTCTACTCTTGTTTGTGTCAAAAGTTGTTTGAATATATTAAGGCTCAAAATTAAGTTATGGAAGCCAAAGGCCAGTGGCTCATGCCTGTGATCCTACCCATAGAGGCTAAGAAGTGCAGTCTAAGGTAGCAGAGATTTTTATATCTAACCAGCTAGCCCTCAGTTAAAGCCCCAAAACTGGCACACACACACACAAAAAAGTTGAGTCTTCTGACAAATATTCAGAGTAGCTTTTAGAAGTTACCTTTCACTCCCTGCTGGCTGTTCAGTTGGCCTTGTGGACAACTGCCACAGTTAACAGCATGGAGGAGTGTTGGTCAGAGATCTAAGATGACCCTATTTTAAGAATCATTCCACTTCTATATCAAGTTGTAAGAAAAGATGTGTGTTTATGGTAAATGCGTATACCCTCAGCACCCAGGAGAACCAAGTTTAAGGCTGGCCTACACTACATAGAATACCTTGTCCCCAGAAAACAAGTTTAACAAATGATTTTTTTCGGTTGGTTGTGGGGCTTGGACTCAGGTCTTGGGCATTGTCCCTGAGCTCTATTGCTCAAGGCTAGCGCTTACCACTCTTGAGCCATAGCTCCACTTCTGGCTTTTCAGTGGTTAATTGGAGATGAGTCTCAAGGGGACTTTTCTGCCGGGGCTGGCTTTGAACTGATATTCTCAGATCTGTCTCCTGAGTATACTAGGATTACAGGCATAAGCCACAGGTACCTGGTCAGGTTTTTTACTAGTGTGAGATCCTCTAGGTCACCAAAAAGCTAGGATTAAAGTGAGCCACTGATCCCTGGCCTAAGTTCATCTTGACAAGCTAGCATTTTGTAACCATTGAAGGTGACTGAGCCGAGGAGGTACCTAACAACACACAAAGCTGATCTTTTAAAGTTGGGCTCACCTGTGTGATTCTACTGTGCAGGACCTAAGTGGCACTAGATGCAGAAGAATGGGACATTGCAACCTTAGGCCGTGGCTGAGCACACCTACTGGAGGCTCTTCCTAAGAGGGGGAGGGCCTTGGAAAGGCCTGGCCCTAGCTTCTCCCTTTCATCCCAGGATTATCTTCAGATGGTGGCTACTCAGTCCATTCCAAAAGGCCATGAGATTTTCAACACTTATGGGCAAATGGCTAATTGGCAACTGATTCATATGTATGGTTTTGTTGAACCATATCCTAACAACACAGATGACACAGCTGACATTCAGATGGTAACTCTTCGTGAAGCTGCATTACAGGGTGAGTTTTGTTACCAATCTTTCACCCTGACACTTGTCTTCTCTGTCCACTCCAGGCTGTAGTAGCTTTGCTAATAGCTGACTTGTTAGAAGAGGTATTTGCTGAGATTTTTACTAATTTATCTACAGGAGCAAAAAATGCATCTGAAAGGCTCCTCCTGTACGAGCGCTGGGATTTCTTGTGCAAACTGGAGATGGTAGGGGAAGAGGGAGCATTTGTGATCGGGCGTGAAGAGGTGTTAACTGAAGAGGAGCTGACCACCACACTCAGGGTAAAGGGTTGAGAATGGCCATGTTGTGCTGATAAAACACAAGTCATTGTCATAATCCAAGGGCCCCATGGTTTTTTCTTAGGTACTATGTATGCCTGCTGAGGAGTTCAGAGAATATAAAAACCAGGAAGGATGGGAAGAGAGTGAAAGCAAAGGCAGCCTGTGTATTTCCAACATTCCCAAGCTCAAAGCATCATGGAGACGGCTTCTTCGAGACAGTGTCCTGTTAACACTGCAGACATATGCCACAGACTTAAAAACTGAGCAAGATTTGCTTAGTAATAAGGAGCTCTATGCGCGACTCAGCTCAAGGGAACAGCAGGCCTTACAGGTTCGCTATGGTCAGAAGGTGATCCTACATCAGTTGTTAGAACTGACAAGTTAGTATCTTCCTTGTTCCTTGAAGGATCAGTAGTAGTGCTTTATTATAAGCCAATAGTTTGTTGCCTTCAAAGAGGAAAACTGGGGCTTTTGCTTTTATTACTTACCAGAAGGTAAAAAGTGCTAGAATTCACTACAAGGTAAGAGTAAGGAAAGATTGGGATCAATAGACCAGGGAGGTGGGGGTTCACTAAACAATTGTTAATGAATTCTGTAGCTATTCTTCCCTTGGAACCATTGACTTGAAGGAAATCAGCCCTTTTTTTTTTTTTTTGGAACTTGCATTTCTTGTTGGAGGACAGGACTGGAACTGGAGTTGTTTGCTCAAGATAGTATCAAGGGAGTCAACCCCATTTATGTAAGATTCCAGCTGTTTACTTATGAAGCCTTTTGTGTTCACTAGCCATAAAGCCTACCCTCATTAAAGATAAATTATGTAAGCAGGGCCAAGTAACTCATTTTTTTAAACTGGGCATAATTTAGTTTTCCTGTTTCAGCAGTTTCCTCTTGTTGGCACCACAATTCCTTTGCTTCAGCATTTGAGATCAAGCTAAGATGCACAATAAGACTGCCACCCTCCACAGCCACCTCCCCCCCCCCCCCCCCCCCCCCCCCCCCCCCCCCCCCCGAAAAGGGGGAGGGGGCCTGGGATTTGTTAGGTAGTGGGGAAGATTATCTTACATACACCATTCAGTAAGGAGTAAGTTCCCAGTGGTCTGGGATCTTTTGGTGTCCAGGCTGTTCACTTTCATCCTGCTGCTGCATGCCATGATTATTGGTTAGTTCCAGTGAGGTTTTGATCTTTTGACTTTAGGGCCTAAGTTAATGTTAAGGGAGGACAAAGCCTAATACTAGTTCCTTTTCTCATAGTTTATAAGACAGAGGGATGGGAAAACTTAAGGTCTGGCTTGGTTCTCTCTTGGAAGTGAGTGTTTTCCCCCTGTTTAGCTGTACAATGGCTTCCAGGAAGGACACACAAACTGTAAGCTCATAATCTTATGCTCTGATATGCCCATGTTTTAGCAACTTAGTGTGGGTAACAGTAAGACATTTTTCTACACTAATATGAATTAAGTATTTCTATCATTTGTTTGGAACACTAGGAATGTTAAAAGACATGGAGTATGTCCTTGAACAAAATGCATGGTATTTAGCTGCCTCTTTATTACAACGTACTAGTTTATGTACTTGCCTTGAACACATTTTGCACAAACCCAGAAGTTCAGACAAAGGTTTTCTCTTTCATATATTTACACAAGTTCAAAATGATATTCACAGCATCGTCTAAATTTTGGCCAAGTCAAAAAAATGCATTTAAACTTTGGAACGTGCCCACGTAGACAGGAGGCCAACCCTCAACAGCGTAGGTGTTGGGGCAGACACCTGAGAACCAAAGGGCTGGGAGAATCAGGAGGAGTTCATCTAACTGGCACCAGTTCCTTCCATTACTTGCTGAGCCTGCTTCTGTCCCATGCAGCACTGTGCAACTGACTGGAATAACCTGGAGAGGAGAAAGAATTACACATTTACTCATGAGGAAAGTTCAGGCTTAATACGCTATTTGCTTTAGCTGCCTTTTTTTTTTTTTTTGGTGGGGGGTGGTCAGTGATAGGACTTGAACTCAGAGCCTGGATGCTGTCCCTGAGCTTTGCTGCTCAAGGCTAGCACTCTACCAGTTTCTGGTTTTCTGGTGGTTAATTGGAGATGAGTCTCATGGACTTTCCTTCTGAACTGATCCTCAGCTCTCAACCTCCTATAATTATTAGCCACTGGCACCTGGCTCTTTACTTGAAGACAATCTACAGTCCTGCCGATAGATAATTCAACTTACTTTTCGATTTCTGGGGCACAGTGTACAAACTCATGGTTCCAGAACTTAAACGCTGGATTTTTAATCAGCTCAATGAAAGTAATAAGAAGACCCCAAGGATGTGGCCTATTTACAATCAACCGTTCCAAGAGAACCCTAGAAAGAAAAAAATGATTAATGCATAGAGAAAACAGGACCATGCCTTCTGTTCCATTCTTCCTCAATGACGGTCTACCAACTCTATCCTGTACTTAAACACAGTAGTAGTATGTGAAATATGTCTAAAGCCTGAATACATGGAACTAAAATAATTTAAAATGAAGAAGTTGGGGAAAGGCACCATTTGGACAAAACTCTCACCTTGTGATCTGTTCCTGGATAGCTTCCGTGTTGGCCTCGGCAAAAAGGTACAGCATGGTGCAGCTGAAGTAGTGAGTGTGGCTGTTTGGGTACCGCAGCTGATTTGCAATTGCATTCAAGAAGAGATACCGGCCTAGAAATTAAGGAAACTCAACTTAGGACTAGTTCTGAAAGAGCAACATAATAAGAAAAAAAAAAAATCAAGCTAGAGATTTACTTTTATTCTTGGCTTTTATCTGTGTTCTCCAGACTCCAAAGTTTTGCTAAGATTTTAAAATACTTTTAAAAGAATAAATACTAATATTTTCCTAAAATTTTTCAAGTGTCACTCTTTTGTCACTACTAATACACAGCTATACTTGCCTTTTTTTGCCTCTGTGTTCAGACAGCTGTACTATTCCCATTCGTGTAATCTCTACCTGTCTCTATATTCAATGACACCAAAAGCCATTGTCCTACTATAATTCAGGTCTTTTGTTCTAATACTGCTGCTTGAACTCAAAGCAAACTGGTTTGGCTCTTTCACTCAAGGCTTGTGCTTTATACTACTTCAGCCACATAGCTACTGCAGCTCTTGCTGGTTAACCGGAGGTAAGAGTCACACAACTTTGTCTGCTGGGGCTGCTCAGCTTTTTAAGTAGCTAGGATTATAGATGTGAGCTACTTAAATTATCAGAACCTGGCTGATAATTCTTTATACTTGGCTATGTTCTTGAGGGGAGGAAAGGGGGGACTAGAATATGAACTCAGGGACTTTCCTTTGCTATACAAGTACTCTTATTGTTTGATCATACCATCTAGCCTGTGGTTTAAAGCAGATTTGTAGGAAGTGGCGCTGTAGCTCAAATGGTAGAGCGCTCGCCTTGAGTTGAAGAGCTGAGGGACCACGCCCAGGCCCAGAGTTCAAGCCCCACGACCGACAAAAAAGAGAAACTATATAGAGCACTCAGAACCTTGGGCGATTTAAAAAAAAAAAAAGCAGATTTGTATGGTCAGACTGGCAAGCACAGGGAACTGTTTGGTGGGGATGGGTCAGTTTCGCTCACCCTCTGTATCTAAGTCCACAGCTAGGTTCTGGAAGATGTCCATGTGTGCTGAGTGGGTGATGGTACTCATTGAAGGTGTGCTGCCTTTGTTGTGGATATGTGCAATGGCCTGAGTCCCTACATAGAGCACCAGTGCATTGATGAGCTGGAGGTTGTAGCGATTGCCAGGTTCATTTGATACCTGTAGGAACAAAATAGAAAACTTACTACCAAAAAACAGTTGGCACCGTAACTTGTAAATTCTTAGACCTCCATGGAAAGCCAAACTGCTGTCAATGAACCTTGCTTACGCTTGTGGGTTTCTTTAAAAATTAGTTCCTTTGGGAGCATATTGTCACCACTCTGCTAACAGCACTAAGGATTTTCAAGTGAAAGCACATACATTCTGTTACAATGTTTGGATAGGGAGAAAGTTATGGTTGTCTATGTGGAAAGATTAACTCCATTTCAAGTCATTCTACAAAGCAAACATAATCAGAATCCCCTCATTTAGGAAAATTTTAAAGTACAGAATATAAAGTTATAGTTCAGCTAAGCTTACTGAACCATTAAACTTGGCAACATGTTTTAAAATCTCTAAGTCAGGCTGAAAATAATTCTAAAATATACTGCACACATCCTAGTGTATAGGAAGTGCTTTCTAGGGAAAGCCACAGAGTTAAGCCAAACCAGCTGACCTGTAGATTGCTGCGCAGATCAGAGAGAAAAGTGACTGGTGATCGAGTTTTAAGATAGGAATCCAAATCCTTTTTGAACTGAGGTGGCATCACTCCAGTGAAATTGGTAAGAATCCGGGGAGCAATGTTAATTTCACTCAACATGTCCACCTGCCAGAAATTCCAAAAATCACAATTAGAATCAACTGTAGAAGCTAACAACAAATTACACCTATGCTGGAAACCCATACACGTTATACCAAGAAGAGAAGTCTGCAACCTTTTAATCAATTTTTCTGGCCAGTCCTGAGGCTTGAACTCAGGACCTAAGGCACTGTCCCTGAGCTGCTTTTGCTCAAGGCCAGCAGTCGTCACTTGAGTCACAGTGTCAGGGCTTTTTCTGTTTGTGTTACTAAGGAATCAAACTCAGGGCTTCATGCATGCTAGGCAAGCACTCCACCACTAAGCCACATTCCTAGCCCCTAAATCAATCAATTATAAGAATCTTTCTATACACACAAAATGAGAGGCACTTCTGGTAAACTAAGTCTTGATTCTTTTTCTAGAGAGGTCTAACCTGCAATAGGAACTCCTTTTCCTAAACTTCAAAATGAGTTAAGAAGCAGAATCCTCAGTGAGGTGGACCATTAAATACAAGCTACACAAAAACACCTATGAAATATGGAAGCTAAGTTCTATTCACTTTGCGGTTCTATCATGTGGTCCCAACAATGTCCTAACACCTAGGCTTAGGTTCTAAAATCATCCCTAAATTTAATACCAAAATAAATATGAAGGCTTGGCACCAGGGGCTTATACACCCGTAATCCTAGAATATTTAAGGAGGAAGAAATCTGAAGGTTGTAGTTCAAAGTTAGGCTTGGCAGGAAAGTCTGGAAACTTCAATAACCCAGCAAATTTTTGGAAGTGTGAGGGGGGTAGGGGCTCAACTGGTTAAGTGCTAGCAATGAGTAAAAAAGATAAGCAAAAACTAACTGACTACAGGATACTTAGAGAAAGAAACTACTAACTGCTCTGAACAATTAACACCGTTTATCAAAATAAATACCAGGAAATAGAAACATGTTTTTAGGAGAGAGGATAGTGCTGAAGGAAGGGGGAACACAATGCAATTATATTCAGTGTAACTGACGGAAGAGCCTGAGCAGTGTAACAGAGTAGGGAAGGAGGAGGAGACTGGAGGACGATGGAAGAGGTGACACTGGCCAAGAAGCTTTGGACTCATAACCTTACTTATGGAATTGTAACCTCTTTATGCAGCTACCTACTTTAAGAGAAAAAAAGATAAGCAAGATCAAGAGGCCCCAGTGTAAGTCACAATATCACGAAGAAAGAAAGAGCTGGGCACCAATGGCTCACACCTGTAATTCTAGATTTATTAACATCTGCCAACATCACTATCATTCCCATAAGGATTAATAACCATTATTTCCACGCTAAACAGTACCCTTACCTAATACATTGCTTACCAGGAGATATTAAGTGTAACTTCTTGAACTATTTGAAACATTACCTTCAGATTAGGAGTGAATGGGTCTGGGAGCCTCATGTTTCTCGGGAAGGCACTCAGGATCAAATTTCTTAACTGGATACAATTGGGTGGGATCACATCACAGAACCCATAATGGTAATCACAAAGGAACTCTGGGAAATCATGCAAAAGAACCAGCAGCACTCTTAGAGTACCCTATTTAAAACAAAAAACAAAAAAACAAAACACAAAAAAAAGAACACTTCCACACTGAGAAAAGGAAGTAACATTCTATTAATTAACTCAAAGTTAAAAAGGCAAAAGGCAATAATATAATAACCAAAAATTTATAGGCTTAGTCAATATCAGAAGGTTATCAAAATATCATGAAAACCTAAGCATCTTATAGCCTTAAATGAAAACGCTATTCTATTCAAAAACAAAAATACAAGAATGAAAATAAGCACCCCTCAACATAGTTTTTTGTTGTGCTAGTCGTGGGGCTTTACCTCTGGGCTGGGGTGCTGTCCCTCAGCTCTTCAGCTCAAGGCAAGCACTCTACCTCTTGAACCACAGTGCCACTTCCGGTTTTCTAGTGGTTTTTACTGGAGATCAGACTTTCCTGCCCGGGTTGGCTTTGAACCAGGATCCTCAGATCTCAGCCTCTTGAGTAGCTAGGATTACAGGCGTGAGCCACTGTGCCCAGCTCCCCCTGTGCATTTTTAGTAAAAGTTTAAAAATGTTATTTTAAAAAAAAGAATAAAGTATCTCTTTAGTAGCTAGGTAAAGACCTAATGAAAACTTTAAGGAATGTGGAAGGGGGAGAGGAGGGTGGCAGAGAAAGCAAACAAATAATTTCTTAAAAAGATTCCTCTCTCCAGGTACTGGTGTGGCTTGTGCCTCTAATCCTAGCTACTCACTCTGAAGGCAGAGATCTGAGGACCGTGATTCAAAGCTAACCCAAGCAGGAAAGTTCTAAGACTTTTCTTTTTTTGCCAGTCCTGGGGCTTAACCTTGTGCCTGGTACTATCTATCCTGAGTTCCTTTTGCTCAAGACTAGCACTCTACCACTTGAGCTACAGCACCACTGCCAGCCTTTTCTGTGATTAACTGGAGATAAGAGACTCATGGACTTTTCCTGTCCAGGCTGGCTTAGAACCACTATTAGATCTCAGACTCCTAAGAAGCTAGGATTACACAGGAGTAAGCCACAGGCGCCTAGCCTACAACGAACATTTTGTTTAGTGTTTTTTGTCTTAAAAACTACAGCTAAATCATACACTTGTGTTTAGAAAGACTACCTCGAATTAACTGATGGAGGCATGGTCGAAACCACTAGGTAGAAACTCACCAGGAACATGAGAGGCCCTGAGTTCTAGCCCTATTAAATCAAATTTAACAACTTTTTTAAAGGATTCTCGGCAAGGGGCTGGTAGCTACTAAAGAGGCTAAGATCTGAGGATCTTAATTTGAAGTCACAGGGCAGAGCAGTCCACTAGACTTTTTTTTTTTTTGGGTCAGTCATGGGGCTTGAACTCGGCTTGGGCACTGTCCCTGTGCTCTTCAGCTCAAGGTCAGAGCTCTACCGCTTGAGTCACAGCGCCACTTCCAGTTTTCTAGTGGTTTATTGGAGATAAGAGTCTCACGGACTTTCTTGCCCAGGCTGGCTTTGAACTGTGATCCTCAGATCTCAGCCTCCATAGTAGCTAGGATTACAGGTGTGAGCCACTGGCCCAGCTTCCTCTAGACTCTTATGTCCAGTTAGCTACCAAAAAGCCAGAAGTAGAGCATGACTCAGTAGTAGAGTACTATCCTTGAGCAAAATAAAAGCTCAGAGACTGGGCAGACCCTGATTTCAAGCCCTAGGATCAGCACACATACTTAAAAACACACAAAGATCTTCAAATGACATCTTTAAAGGCAACCCATGAGAAAGCATTTGAATATATATTAACAAAAAGCTTGAACTTTAAAAAAAAAACAAACGGGGGGGGGGGGGGGGGGGGCCTGGGCCTGCGAGTGCTGGTGGCTCACGCCTGTAATCCTAGCTACTCAGGAGGCTGAGGTCTGAGGATCACAGTTCAAAGCCAGCCCGGGCAGGAAAGTGCCTGAGACTATTATCTCCAACAAACCACTAGAAAAAAAAAAACAACAAAAACAAAGTGGTGCCGTGGCTCAAGCAGTAGAGCCCTCCCCTTGAGCTGAAGAGCTGAGGGATAATGCCCAAGCCCAGAGTTCAAGCCCCACGACTAACAAAAAAAAGTGGGGGGAGGGGAAGTGACCTGATAAAGACCCAATAGAGCACTTGTATAAGAACCTGTGCTTTTCTATCAGTACCAAAAAAATGGATTAAAACAAAATTAAGAAAAGTACAACAATCCCCAAGAAACATGATAAAATATTGAAAAAACAATTGATAGAATAAAATCTCATTAAGAAATGATTAGAGGAAATGCAAATTATATCCTCAATAAAAACCCACCAAAGGGGGCTTTAAAAAAAAATCAGGTATGATAAGATGTGGAGATACTGATTTGTTGCTAAAAAGCACAAACTGGTGCAGGCTCTTTGTAAAATGCAGTATCTTCTGAAGTTAGACCTGAGCCCTCTTTAAGATCTTGCAGCACTCTGCAAGAACAAGGATTTTGTATATGTATAAATTAATCTTTATTAATCTTTAAAAACTTGTTATTCTAATTTGTAAATCCAAATTAATTACCTTGTAGAGGATTTGCATAGGTTTGGTGAGCTCCACATTTCTAAGAAAAGGTGCTAAATATTTGAATAAGTCAATCAGTAGCTGCGCATACATAGGCCAGCCCTAAACAAAAGAAATGGACATGAGTCATAATTATACTCAGCTATAGTTCAGCCAACAGGAAACATCTAAGCAGCTAAACCAAGACTTAATTATCTATCCATCTCCTCATACTATAATAAGCACATAGAGGTGTACACCTCTCCTAGAATGGTTGCCAGACTGGTCTTAGAGAAGACTAAGAATTTAGTAGGAAATCACATTTGAAATTAAATGATTCCAGAGATTTCAGGGCATACTGCTCCTAATACCTGTAAATAATTTTAAGGAGAAAAGAGGAGAACCTGATGAAATTTCCTCCCTTAGAAAGGGAAAGCCCTTCTCGAAACAAAACCAACTTTATTAAATGATTAATTCCTACTTTTTAAAATTTTTTTGCTAAATTCACCTTAATCATATTTTCTTCTTGTCTGAAGGGCCAAAGGAGAGAATTTTAGGTAGTACTTATTTGCTATTTAACTGCAAAATGAAAGAGGGCACCGGTGGCTCATGCCTGTAATCTTAGTTTTTCAGAAGGCTGAAATCTGAGGATCATGGTTCAATAGCCAGCCAAGGCAGGAAGAGTCAATGAGACTACCAATCAACTACCCAAAAAGCCAGAAGTGAATCTGTGGCTCAAGTGGTAGAGTGCTAACCTTGAACAGAAAAGCTCAGGGACAGTGCTCAAGCCCTGAGGTTCAAGCCCAGAACTGGCATTAAAAAAAAAAAAAAAAGGAGGTGGGAGGGGAGAAATGATGAATTTCTTATTAATCACGCTTTACTCCTAATTATATAGGTTTAATTCTTAGAAGCAGCAGCATCCCCACCTCTCCCCCCACCCAGTTCAGTGGTCTTCAACCTTAACCATGAGAAAACCTTCAGCATTTAGAATGGGAACTTATAAAAATAGCAAGCTCCTATTATCCACAGGTATATTCAGGTGTCTAAGGAAGTACTTAAGGATTCCAACTTTAAAATCCTAACAAATATGCAAAATAATCATTACTGTGTATAAAGCAGTAGACATGGGGAAAAAAAACTAACTCAGAAAGCCTTTAAAGAGACTGACAGTGGTCGACAACAAAGCTGAAAATATAACGCTGAGTCATCAAAAGATGACTTTCAGGTAAAGGTCTTGAGTCAAGGTCTTTCTCCATGACCTGATCCAACAATACACAGACTAATTCTTAAGTAAGTGTGGAAATCGTACAACTGCTAGTAAATGGCCAGTAGAAATCTCTAGGCAGTGCTAACAAGCCACAAGTAGTTATAGTCTTCATCAGTAGGAGATAAACTGCAGCCACACCTTCTGCTGTGGTGTATGTGCCAGCATTCTTGCAATAAATATCCGATGGGAGATCAGCTCAAGCCAGGCATATACAAAGCCAGGAGCTTTGGTAGGCCTCAAAATGTGGAATGTATTACTGAAAGAAGAAAAATCCAAATTAGAAAGCTCAAACTTAAAAATAACATAAATAAGCTGCCTTGCAAATCAAATTAACATGCCTCAAAATAAACAAAAGCTCTACTTCTAAAATTTTACTACACCAAAAACCAACAACCCTTAATAGAACTTTCAGTAAGATATAATGGTGCAGCACTGCCTATAGGAATTAGGATACTGGGGCAAGAAAATTTTGTGTTCAAGGCCAGCATAGGCTACATAGGGGAACCTTACCTTTAAAAAAACAAACAAACAAAAACCAAAAAAACCTAACAACAAGCAGGGTGCCAATGGCTCCTGCCTATAATCCTAGCTACACAGGAGGCTGAGATCTGAGGAGCACAATGAGACTCCTATCTCCAATAAACTATTCAGAAAAAGCCAGAAGTGGCACTATGGCTCAAGTGGTAGAGAACTAACAGTGAACAAGAAGATCAGGGACAGTGGCCTTCTTTTTGTTCAAGCCCCAGGACCAGCAAACAACAACAAAGAAAACCAACAAAACTTTAATATACAAACAAAACACAAAATTCTCTTAAGCCCAACAATACTATACTCACCAGAAAGCTGTAAGTGTTTGGAAATTAATAGTTTCTAACACATGCTCAGGTGCATTGAGTTCCAAGAGCAACATGATAAAAATTCGATGGTAGGGAAGCTGCTGAAATTCACTTTGTCGAACATCATGGTCCTGTAGGAGAACTCCCACTACTATACCAAGAACCTGTTAGAATACAGAATCACAGCTTGAAAGTCACACTTTCAAATCATGTTACTTTTACCTTAAACCCTACATTAAAGGACAAATATATACCATTAAACAAAAAATTATCTGCTTTCAGACAAAGGGGCCCTATGTTGGAATGGCTTAGTGTTTCTTGTAAGTATCTTTGGGCCAAGCTTGCATATTCCTTATAAATATCCTCCAGTGGTTTTCCAAAGCCTTGGGTTTCAGCATGAACCATCATCTTTTACTATGCTAAAACAATCTGAACAATATAACTCTTTTGCTCTACTTGAAGTTGACAAGAAGCAAATGATTTATACTTCTCCTGGAATTTGGTCGAGGGCCAGACAACCGTCAAAAAACTGTCCTGGCTCTCTATATCATTTGCTCATCTTTCATGAGGGCTCATGAAAGACCTGCCTGTAATACCTTACACCAAAACAAAGTCCATGTTCACACACATTTTTGCATTCCTTTAATATTCACATTTTCAGAAATCCAATTGTGTAAATTGATCCAATGATTTTTTTTCTACTATGGCATTCTAATCTTTCTTAACATTTGGTGGATTGTAATCACATATTATATATGAATTTAATTTCAGCACAGAAAAGAAATGCACAAAACATTTTAGGTAAAGGCTCAGAACAAAGATGTTGAGAGTCACTGACAGACTTCAATGTGCAAAGACAAAGACAATAAAGGATTTCAGACCTTGTTCAGCAGATTAATCTTTGTGACAGTATTGGTAGCCTCCCCTGAGTGCTTCACTAACAGTGCAATGAGTCGTACAAAGGCATCTAGATTGTGATAACACTTGGCTCGGATCATGGTGGGATTAGCAGCAGGATTGTGCTGCTGCTCAGCCTGAGCACGGTAACTGATTTCAACACACATTTCAGTGCACAAACGAAAAAATCTTGTTATGAGGTCATCAGTCTTCAGTATTCCTTGCTGATGCATCTACCATGGGGAACAAAAGTATAGAAGCACAATGAGATAATATGTACAAATTAACTTTGTATGCCTCAACTTTCATACTTAAGACACAACATTCTCTTGTTTATTCCTATGGTAACCATTTCTAATTCTTACTATATTAAAAAAAAAATGTCATTTAGGAGGGCTTCTCCATTAAGGAACCATGACACACTTCCTCCAGTTTTATGGAGACCAGAGAATGAGAGTATCTTCAAATAATTTAGAAAAATATGCAAATAAAATCATCTTTTAGTAACTGTTTAGGTCATAAGATACTCTGGACAAAGTATCTTTTGTCTCAGGAAGAAACTTAACTATATGTACTTTACTTCTCACAGAAATAAGGTATACTTTTGTGTGTGTGTGTGTGTGCCCATCCTGGGGCTTTAACTCTGGGCCTACATGCTGTCCCTAAGCTTTTTTGCTTAAGACTAACACTTTACTACTTGAGCCACAGCTCCAGTTCTGGCTTTATGGTGGTTAGTTGGAGGTAATAGTCTCAGGGACTTTCTTGCCAGGACTGGCTTCAAATCATGATCCTCAAATTTTAGCCTCTTTGAGTAGCTAGGATTATAGATGTGAGCCACTGCACCCAATAAATAGTTTCTTTTGCTTAAACAGTTACAAGAGTTTTTGAAATCAACTAGCCACCCTTAGAAAAAGCACTGATTTATACAAAAAACAGGTACTAAATGAAAATATTCAGATTATGACTCGCAATTTTAAAACGTACTAAAACTGTTACAATACAGTACAATATAAGGAGGAAAGTACAAATTATATGACGTAAGTAAGTCAGAGCAGAAAAGCCAGTCAGCAGATGACAACAGCAAAGTGCATTAAGGGTAAAGAAAGAAGTCAACAAAAATCAAATCAAATCTTGAGAAAAATTGTGAGGATTACTTTAGAAATTTTAATGCAATTTATAACCAATAAAACAGCTAAACTAACCCAAGCCTGTATCCCAATGCCAAGACAGAAAGTCAGTAAAAGATCTTCTGCCTACATTAAAACTTGGAGAAAGGGGGAAAGGCTAGCCAACCAGTGGTTCACATCTTCCTTTACCCTGGGAAGGCAGAGACCAGGACGATCAGTTTGAGGCCAGCCCACGCAAAAAACATTTTCAAGGAAAAGTCTAGGAGGTAATACATGCCTATCCTTCACAGCAATAATGGGGAGCATAAAGAGGGCTGCAGCCCAGCCAGCTTGGGTAGAAAGCCCAGACACTATCTCAAAATAACCAGAACAGCCATGTGCTGGTGGCTCATGCCTGCAATCCTAATTACTCAGGATGCTGAAACTGGGAGGATCAAATTGTAAAGCCAGCAATGCCTCAACTGCTTATAGTGCTAGCCAAGCAAGCCTAACACAAAGCCTTGAATATCTAATATGCGCGAGGGCATGGAATACAACACAGAGCAAAAGGAACCACAGAAGTGTGATACATTCTTTCTCAAGAAAATTACAATGAGAGCAAACAACGCAACAGGAAGAGCTGAGACAGGAGCCACATCCATACCCATGAAATAGCAATGATCACAAAACCCAGTTGATTTAAAAATTTTCCACTCAGATAAGTCAAAACTAAAAATGTTCAGTAAAAGCTTTTCAATAGGATGTTTTAAAGATTTTTTTAGTAGAGAAATAGTTTACTAATTTTATCATTTATCTTGAAAAGCAAATGCAGTATATAGCAACTTCTAGAATTCAAATCAGATCTTCCACTTATCACTGACCTGTATTTGAAAATAGATCCAAATTAACAATCTTTCTCTAGCAACCCAAGTTTTGGGTTCAGCTGAGAGAAATGTTAATAAGCAGATATATTACCCTGAACAACTATAATGTATAATACTTGTTATTATAATGTTATAACATTTAAAAAGAAATTCAAAGGCCAATTCAAGATAGAGGGGGTGAACTTGACTGGAATATAGTCAGCGTGTGAATGTAACGTGTCAATGTGTGCAAATGTAAAAATAACTCTCCTCTGCTCCCATATAAGTAATATAAGCTAATTTTTAAAGTCATTTCAAGGGCAAGGGTTATCATTTATTACCATGAGGACACAATAACTATTGTTTTTATACCATGAAGTTCCTGAAAGCAGTCAATGATAACCAAAAGTAGAGTACTAAATGGTACTATGGCTATCTTCCTGTATTTTCTTCTGTTCATCCTATTTATTTGTTTGTTTATTATTCTTGCAACAACAGGGGCTTGATTCCATATACTTGAACTCAAACTCCAATTTTGCATCAATATTTTTTAGGGGTGGAGAAGAGGGGGGAGACTTATCGTGGGTTTGAGCACTGAGCCTGTGCTGTGTCCCTGAGCTCCTTTTGCTTAAGGCTAGCATTCTACAACTTTGAATCACAGTGCCAATTTCAGTTTCTGGTTGTTAATTGGAGATAAGAGACTCAACAAACTTTCCTGCTCAGGCTGGCTTTGAACTGTGATCCTCAGATCTCAGCATCCTGAGTAGCTAGATTTACTGGCATGAGCCACCAGTACCCGAAACAGCAAAAGATTTTTAAAGTCTGAGAACTGGACTTGAACTCAGTACCTAATGCTTTCACTCATTGACTAGCAGTCCACCACTTGAGCCATGCCTTCAAGCCTCTATTTGCATTAAATTTAATGAGCAGGAAAACTGAAGGCTGGTTTTTTTGTGTGTGTCAGTCGTGGGGCTTGAACTCTGGGCTTGGGCGCTCAGCTCAAAGTGAGCTCTCTACTGCTTGAGCCACAGCATCGCTTCTGGTTTTCTAGTGGTTTGTTGGAGATAAAAGTTTCACAGACTTTCCTGTCCAGGCTGGCTTAGAACTGTGACCCTCAGATCTCAGCCTCCTGAGTAGCTAGGATTACAGGCGTGAACCACTCGTGCCCAGCTCTGAACACTGTTTTCTAAGAGTATACTGCTATTTTTCGGTAGCCAGCTACTAAAATTAGCAAACATAATAATACGATACACTATTTAAGTGTTTAAGTTTTTAATTTTGTTCTTTTTTGTTGTTGTTGTTGGTTTGTTGTTGTTGGCTTGAACTTGGGGCCTGGGCCTGTCCTTGAGCTCTTTTGCCCAAGGCCAGCACTCTAATCACTTTGAGCCACAGCTCCACTTTCAGTTTTTGAGTGGTTAATTGGAGATAAAAGTCGCCAGGGGACTTTGAGTGGTTAACTGGAGATAAAAGTCGCAAGGGGACTTTTCTAAGATCTCAGTAGCTAGGATTTCAGGCTGTGAGCTACCAGTGGCAGCTATTGTATCTTTTAAACATAATCTGTAAGAATCTTATTAGCTTATAACCTATCACTACTGATTATCCTGCCAATAAAATTATTTTTTCACCTTTATTATTCAACCCATTATTATATAACCCATTGTATATTGCCTCTGTGCAAGTGGAATGTGATAAATAGGACTAATGTGAGCTCAGGGAATGCAAACTTCACTGTTTTGATCAATGCTAAGAAAACACAGGCTGTATGAATTTAAAAGAGCACGATGGTCTTGTATTTTTGGCTTGCATGAGTATGGAGGTAACTGATCACAAGTATATAATGCTGAGCTTTAATACTGGAGGTATCACACCCTACTTAATGTTGAATAAAAAGCACCTTTCTTTCCAAAAGCTCTACCTGTCCAACAAACGCAGAGAAAGCTTTGGTACTGTCACGGCCAGCTGCTGCTGAATGGTAGAGATTCACCCATTCCCTTAGAAGATACTCTGCCTTCTCCCTCAGGCCTGGAGGGTCATCATACTCTGAGGCTTGAGAGATCCCAGAATGCATCATAAAGTTGGGGCCTCCATGAGCACGATCAATCATTGCTTCATAGTTGGATCGTACCACTTCCATCAGCTGGGGCAATCTAATATGGTAAATCCAGAGTGAAAATCAGTCTACTCACAGTTGTAATTTCAGATACAGTTGGACAACTTAATTACTTAACAGAAACAACACTTCATCACTTCAGCATTTCCAGTCTCTTTGTTTCTACCTACTTATGAGAACATAATATATACAAATGACTTGGCTTTAGTTAAGCTACTTCACCAAAAACTTATCCACTGAAGTGAAGCTGATAGCCAATTAATAAGTAATCAATTTACTGCTTATCTTTCATTCACTGCTGTACTTTTAAATTTTTCAACAGCTGTTTGAGAATTTGCTTCCATTTTATTTTAAAAACAGGCCTAGAAAGGTTAAGTCTATTTGCCTAAAATTAGCAATTTTTTAAGTGGCAAAACCAAGGCAGAAGAGGATTCTGACACCAACTTAGAAGTCACTACATACTATTCTATACCAGAAAGACCTGGCAGTTAGTTAAGCTTTCATATTTCCACAGGCAATATAAGGCCTAACTGAAGTTACACACTATTGATAAAGCAGTTATAAGTAATACTAATAAGTCTGTACATTCATTTCTAAATCTTTCAGGAGAATGCTGAATACACAGGGTGAGCAAAGTATTTCATCCTCACCCTTCTGGAGCATTGCCTCTGGAATGAGCATTAATCCTCATGAGAGTTTCAATGGTGTGAAACAGATCTGCCTCAGTAACATGGGCAACACTCCTTTCATCCACCAGCAGGATTTTTACCAACTGCATAGCAAATGCCACGGCCATGTAGTTTAGACCATTCTCCATTGACTGGCAACACAGAAAACACAACATAAGAGAGAAAACAGATGAAAACGCTTCCTGACTTCTTTGGTCAGCTAAAGTAAATTCTTCCATACCTGAGCTAGGTGAAGGTCATACTGTTGCATGTTTACCAAATGATTTCGTATTAACAACTCCACTGCCTCCACATTGTATTTATATTCATCTCGACATTCAATTAGGCACCTAAGAAAAGTGAGGATTTTACTCAGATTCCAAACCATACTATATAAAACAAAAAAGATTCATTTTATTTGGTGGAAATTTGTTTCAATTAGGAATGACTTAGTTTCTCAACAGTTGGAAGGCTGGGGGTGTAGCTTAGTGGTAAAACATGAAGGCCCTCACCAACCTTGTGATCTGTTTGTTGCACCATGGAGATCCATATGCCCTGCCATCCTGCAGAGCTTTGAGTACCAAGAGGTGGCACTCTCGGTAACGCAGCAGTAGGTCAGCATCAGCACCACTTGTGGCATCTAATAATCCCTCAACAGCCTATGGACAAAACAAAAGTGTTTAGAACAGTACCCAGCTCAATTAGGAAAGCTAGACCTCAATGAGAATATCCACTTTCTACAGTTTCAAAATGGCTATCTCTGTAAGAAGTATTTAAAGGCTACTTTTGCTAGACTAGACAAAATCCTGGCGTAACTGCTTCCATTTTTTATGCATCTTTGTTCTAAATCTTTGCAGTTCCCTTGCAATCACCTTGGAATTGAGGAAGGACAGGACTTACCATTGATCAACAACTTTAGTAGGACCTAAAGAACAATACAATTTCCTCAGGACTGATCAACCATCAGGTAATACCAAACTTCTCCAGAACTCTTCCCAAAACAAAGGCCCAAGATAATGGTCATCCAGGCCCAATTTGTGACAAGGACTCATAACTGTGCATACTTCTTTTCCCCTGTCCATTTAAATATATACTCATGTTGGTACCCTGAAGGTGGCTTAAAATTTATTTGTGTTGTCTCCCCATGGCTGCCATGTAACAAATCTGCTTACTCTATTTAGTGGACTAACAGCTGGAAATAAGATTCACTCTCAGTTCTACCTGAGTTTTCCACTGTCTTTAGCCTCTTCATAGTCTAAATACAAGGCTCTACCCACACCCAGAACCACTCCTCAAACACATGACAATTTTTCCATCAAACCTTCAAGCTCTCCTTCAGAGATTATTCAATAATCTTATTTCCAAGAAAATGTTCTCTTAAGGTAAAAAAAACATTTTCCATTTGTCATAACTATATTCTTCTACCCAAGACAAAATAAAACAAAAACAAAAAACACCTACTTATACAGCTCTAGGTAATTTTATTTAGTCTTAACAATAATTTCCTAAGTATGTAGACAAGGATGCAGGTAACTCAAAATCTACAAACCTAGTTTTCCTTCTTCTATAAGCAATATCAAGAACCAACCTTCTGGAGTAATCCAAGAGCAGCTATAGCATCCCGAGAATTCCGTGATAACACTACAACTTCCAAAAGACTTCGAAGAGCCTGGGCTTGAGGATTCATAGCCAAAGTTGGTGGTATAGCATGTAAGTGCTGCTCCAGTTCTGTAATGCACTTATCATAAATTTGAGCTACATCATCTGTTGCCCAAGCTTGCTGTGTTACAGAAGGAAATAGTTAAGAAAAAAAAATTAGGGTTTTTTTTTTTCATTAAAGGTCTGTAAGCTTGTTTGCTCCCTTTACTTTTTTTTGTTGTTGTAGGAATGAGCCACTGGCACCCAGCTGCTCTTTTTGCTTTTTCATCAAAACAGAGAGGGCCTTTTCCAGGCTTGCTTCCTGAGCTATGAAATGCTATGAAGTAGAGTGGTACAAGGCAGGCTGAGGAGTAGGGGTGTTTGAGAACAGAAAGCTGGCAGGTACCACATAATCAAGCAATCAAATTATACCATCAATGAAAAGACTGAGGAGGAGACAATAAAAAAAAAAATTCTTACCAAAAAATAAAAGACTGAGGAGGACATCATTGGTGGCGTAAAGTAAGTACAGTTTAAGACTGTGTTCTAAGTCCTGAAAATTACAGTACTCAGAGCAATTGCCAAAGCTTGGCTAAACATAGCAAGAACACTACATCAGTGATATTCCTTATCATAAGTGTATACACCGAAGGTTTGGGATGCAGAACAGTGGTAGTGGTTGGTTGCCTGGCATACTCTAGGTGGGTCATCAGCATGACATACACAAAGTAATAGCTGTGGGCTAGAAAGGTGGGTCAGTGATAAGAGTGCTTGTCTTGTATGTATGAGGCCCTAGGTTCAATTCCTCAGCACCACAAAAGCACAAAAAGCTGGAAGTGGCGCTGTGGCTCAAGCACTAGCCTTGTGCTGAAGAACAGCACCCAGGCCCAGAGTTTAGGCCTCACAACCCACCAAAGGAAAACAGACAAAACAAAAAACAAACAAAAATTCAAAAACCCACAAAGTAATAGCTGTAATAATGGTATGGTATTGGTAGGAATATAAATACAAAACATTAAGTATAGTCATGAGAACACACTGTCAAAACTCAAATCAGGCCATTCTAGAAAATAGCTTGTTTATAATCTTCAAAAGTGGCAAGGATGAGAAAGATGAGGAATTTAGAGATTTCTAAAAAATAACACCTAAATGAAATGTGTGGTCTTCAAACAGGTCTTCTGTAAAACATTACCTGACAACTTGGTAAAAAGTCATTGAGGACTTAGATGGGAATAAAGTGTTGAATTTCCTGATTTTAATGCTTATATTATGGTCAGAGAACATTTCTGTAATATAAATGAGACAAATACAGTAGCATGTACTAGGAATATTAGAAGAGAGGGGGATGAAAGGGTGTGTTTTCAACTTATGTGTGTAAATTACATGCAAATTTTCAGAAAATCCATTACAAAAGAGAAACAGGCAGTCAAATTTCCTCTAACTCATCAGAACATTTAAGTCAGGTAAGTTTCATGGATTTAACTACACAAACCAAAAATCCTAAATGTAAGCTAGATGTTAGTGGTTATTTGGGAAGCTAAGATCTCAGGATCTCAGTTCAAAGACATACCAAGCAGACAAATCATGAAACTTTTATTTCTAATTAACTAGTAAAATGCCAGACTGGAGGTATAGCTCAAGGAGTAGAGAATCAGCTCTGCATGAAAAAGCTGAGCAAGAGCCTAAGTTCAAGCCCCAGTATAGCTTACCAACAAAACCAACAACTCTATATGTCACTGTAGCTGATACAAAGAGTACAATAACTATAATGATGTTCTCCCTGTAACTTAAGCTTCCAGGAATAGTGATATATTAGCTGATACATTTAGATAACACTTCACAAACACCCAATTTAATCCAAGTGAAGTATTTTACCTTCATGGGCTGAGCTAAAAATCCTGTAGGCTGACTTAGGTCATTTGTAGGCAAGAAGCCAGGCACATTTCGTGCGAACTCTTCATAAACAGCCAGCTGCTTTGGGTCCACACCACCAACCTTAAAAAAGAAAAGCCTAATTTAACAGAATCCATAAAATCAGAGTAAAAGTTTTTGAAAGCTGATGTTTGAACAGGGGTGGGTCCAAGAGTTCTGACAAAAGCCATCATAACTATATATGGTGGGCATAAACTGATGGCCACAACAGGGCAGAAGAGGGTTCCCATTTCCTTCTCAAGAGTACCCTCACTTATAAAGTCACTGAAGATTGTCTCAGATGAGGCCATGAAATTCTCCCTTGGTGCCAAGAAATAGTATTAGATCCCTCATCATCATGTTGGGAGCAATAAGCAACTGTCAATAAAAGCATAAATATCAGAACATATGTCGAGAAAAGTCCAAGTTGGGAAACAAAAGTGAAAGCTTAGAGGCACAGCTTTCCTTTAATGACTGTGGAATGGAAGAGCCAAGGCTAGTTCTATGCCTGTTCCACAGAACTTTTTTTTTTTTTTTGGGTCCGGTCGTGGGGCCTGAATTCTGGGCCTGGGCACTGACCCTCAGCTCTTCAGCTCAAGGCTAGCGCTCTACCACTTGAGCCACAGCGCCACTTCCGGCTTTTTTCTATTTGCTTATGTGGTGCTAGGGAATCGAACCCAGGGCCTCAGGCATGCAGGGCAAGTGCTCTACCACTGAGCCACCTACCCAGCCCCTCCACAGGCACTTTTAAAATAAAAGTGCTACTAGGATAAGACGCTTTCTCAGAAACATTTAGTCCTACTGTCCCAGGTATCCGTGAACAGATCCAGCCAATACTAACAAACTGGGTACAGGGGAAGGTTGCATGAACAGAGAATGCCCCAAGTTCTCACTTTCAGCCTGATCTGTTCTGGCATCCGCTCAGCTTGGTATGTTAATACAACAGGATCACAGTATCTTCGCCCTTCTTGCCTAGCATGTTTTCTCAGCTCAAATTCCTGGAAATAAAAAAAAGTCACTGAGGTTCTTGTTATGAGGCATTTTCTTAAATTACCAAAACACCTCCGGCCAAAAGAAAATGATATGTACTTACAGTTGCTAATCTCTTGTCCATCTCTGGGCCTGCTTTTTCTACTGCAGTCTTCTGAATAAAACAACAAGCTAATTCACAATTGTCCTGAGCTAATTGAGCAGCTGCTTGGTCCATCATTTCTCTTTGTTGTGGGGATGCAGTCTATTTGGAACAGAAAAATAGGAAAGAAAAATGTTCAAGTTGGATAATGGGGAATGTGATACATTCAATGAATAAATTTCAATTTTGGTGATAGTTATGAATGAGCTGTGACACTAAACATTTTATTGGTTATGAACATGGTTAACAATATGAAAATAGAAACTTAGCAAACAAAAGAATTATTTCCCATGGCATCTGAGACTCAAAAATACTCCCAGTTGTTTTAACCAAAATGTGCTATGATAATGTATGCAAAATAAAATCACTTCAAAACATTCTTTAAGCCCAGTGTCAGTGGCTCACGCCTGTAATGCTAGCTACTCAGGAGGCTGACATCTAAGGATCACGTTTCAAAGCCAGCCCAGGCAGGAAAGTCCCTAACTCTTTATTTCCAATAAACCATTCAGAAAACCAGAAGTGGCACTGTGGCTCAAGTGGTAGAGCGCTAGCCTTAAGCTGAAAAGCTGAGGGACAGCACCCAGGCCCAGAGTACAAGCCCCATGACCGGCAAAAACACATTCTTTACTGTCCTACTCCAACTACTTTAAATATTTTTTAAGACTATGAGGTTGCTGGGCACTACTGGTGGCTCGTCTATAATCCTACGTGCTCAAGAGGCTGTGATTTGAGAACCATGGTTCAAAGCCAGCCTAAGCAGAAAATTTGTGAAAGTGATTCTCTTTGATTAACCAGCAAAAAGCCAGAAGAGATGTGGTAGCAAACCAGCTTAAGCAAATAAGTGTGAGACCCTGAGTTTTAGCTCTAATACTGGCATACACACACAGAACAAAACCAAAAAAACGGTTAAAAAGTAATTCTCAGGGCCAAGGGCAAAGAAAATTCTGGAAGTTAAGTAGTGAGTTTTAGGGGTTTTTGTAGGTCATGGGGCTTGAATTCAGGGCCTGGGACTGTTCCTGAGCACTCTTACTCAAGGCTAGCACTTTACTACTTTCAACCACAGTGTCACTCCTGGTTTTCTGGTGTTTAAATAGAGGTAAGTCTCATGGACTTTTCTGCCCAGGTTGGCTTTTAACAGCCTCCTGAGTAGCTAGGATTACAGGTGTGAGCACCAGTGCCTGGCAGAAAACAGTTTTATACCAAATAAATAACCAACTTACACGAAGAGCTGAGGCAAAACTGTTTTTTAGGTTTGTAGATATGCTCATCAGCAAAGGTTCCCTGCAAGTAATCATAGCCATCCCAGCAGTCAAGTTACGCATCATGTGATGCGCTGCTATTCGCATTCGAGATTCCTCCGAATCCAGGGCAAAATCTTTCCTGACTATTTGCTCACAAGTAGTCATGGCGATCTTAATTGACCGATCCACCACAGGATGAACCAGTTCCTGGACAGCCCGTTCGATTGCTTGACGCACACACTGTTTCAACTGTGGATGGGCCTGGAACAAGGGAATCTGGCACACAAACATAAAGAAAGTCAACTGCTTGTTTAAATAAGACAATTCAATTTTTATTAGCAATCACACAATTCTGGAATTACTTCAAGGTTAACAGAAGCTACATATTTCTACTAAATCAACAAATTAAACAAGGAAAACGTCAAGAAACATTATATAGAGGAAAAAGTATTTAGCGTAGCCTGTGAGCTGTGATAGTATTTTTGCTTTTTTTAAATAAAGTTACATCTAACAGGCAAATGATTAAAATATGTATTATGTGCTACAGACATAACTTGCTGAGTTACAATTATAGATAGCTAAAGTACATGTTACAAAGCACTTCTTGATTAGCTCAAAAAACTAATATTGCTACACAAATAGTTCCTGAAATTAGAAACCTTTTACAGTGCCCACTAAAAGACTTTCTAATCTTCTATCTCGGGAATAAGCAATGCCTTACATTCACTAGGGTATCTTTAATTTTTTTTTGGGGGGGGGGCCTATTCTGGGGCTTGAACTCAGGGCCTGGGCACTGTCTCTGAGCTAGTTTTTGCTCAAGCAAAAGCTCATAGTGGCACTCTGCCACTATGAGTCACAGCGCCACTTCCAGATTTTTCTGTTTATGTGGTACTGAGGGGTATTGAACCCAGGGCTTCAGGCATGCTAGGCAAGCACTCTACCACTAAGCCACATTCTAGCCCCAGAATTTTTAAAACTCATAATGAACACCAAATATTCAAACACTGGGCAAAATTCAAAGAGGAATCATGGGGATACTGTTACTACACCTACAGAAGGGAGAACAGGGGAAAAGTTAATGATTTCTTTTGCACATGCTAATTGTAGCAAGACCAGGACAACATGCAAAGAAAAACTGCCAAGTCCTTTTTTTTTTTTTTGGCCGGTCCAGGGGCTTAAACTCAAGGCCTGTACTCTGTCCCTGAGCATCTCTGTGTTCAAAGCTAGCACTCTAACATTTCAGACACAGCACCACTTCTGGATTTTTCTGTTCATGTGGTACGGAGGAATCAAACCCAGGGATTCATGCATGCTAGGCAAACATTCTACCACCAAGCCACATTCCCAGTCCCAAGTCTTCAATACAAAAGTACTCCTTTTTCTGTGAACATTTTATGTTTGTGAAAATCCAATAGTGAGAACTCCAACCACATGGTTATGAATTAAACAAATGTTAAGCTGGGTGTAGTAGGACATATAATTATAGCACTTATGAAGCTGAGACAAAGAGGGTGTTAAGTTTAAAGCCAGCCTGGGCTTAATCTTGCCTCAAAAAAAAAAAAAAAAAAAAGGAGAATTAAGCAGAACAGACTGTGGACAACAAACAATAACAGCCTTGGATATACAGACCAAATACTAAGCAGGGCTGGGAAGGTGGCTCAGTGGTAGAGCGCTTGCCTTGCATGCCTGAGGCCCTGGGTTTGATTCCTCAGCACCACATAAGCAAAAAGAAGAAAAAAAAAAAAAAGAAAAAAGAAAAAAACTAAACATAAAAAAGGAAATTTATAAGACATTATTTGAATTTAGATTTGACAGCCTTTTAGAAACAAGCCAACACAATGTAACTAAAAGAACTAAATCCCACTTCATGACACTGGCCTGGAAACTTTATATACTAAGATCAGCTTGCTTCTGGCTATTTGCCCCCCCATCCCAAAAAAAGTCTAATACAGGCCAAGTGAGGTTAATGAAAGTAAAAGCAAAAGGCTATGACATACATTAGGGCTCTTTTGACCTGTGTAAGGTAAACCTGAGATTGTGACTTTCTTTTTTGGGTCCGGTCATGGGGGCCTGAACTCTGGGCCTGGGCACTGTCCCCCTTAGCTCTTCAGCTCAAGGCTTGCGCTCTACCACTTGAGCCACAGCACCACTTCCGGCTT